CTAGCACTTATTCATCCTCGAGGCGATCAAGCCAAAAGGCCTCGCCCATTCGGTCTTCCACAGCGGACGAGTGGGCAGCCATGGGTCAAATGTTTGCGCATTTTGTTTGACCCTTTGGCATCCAATAAAGAGCACCGTGGAATCACAAGGGCAAGTCTTACGGTCCAACAAGCCGGCCGAGCCGATTCCATCCCACTCGATCACCTGAGTACCCTAACCGAACGAACCTTTAATTTAACATCGTCTCCAACTCATTCGACTTGGCATGCCGAGCGGATACCCCTGTCATGGGATTTTAGTTCACTTCTCCAGTCGGCAGGACACACCGAACGAGCACTTGAGCCCCAGAAGTCTCGTTATCTCAGTCTCTTCAACCCTTCACACCGATCGGGCACACCCTCTTGGGGTGATTGCACATTCTGGATCAGCTTTGATACCGAGCGACCCTTGACTACGAATCACCTACATCAAACTGGTCAGCTATGTCGACAATCTACCGTCCAAGAAGGGAGATCAAGCGCGCCTCGGTCGTTTCTACTCTCTGACTTAAGAAAAACTTAACTCAAAGAGTGGGGGGCAAACTGTTAGGGCCAAAAATCGTCATTGGCCCAAATAGGAGAACGGGACTGAATGAGGAAGAGACCAGGCCTATTCCCGATACGGCCCCATCCGGATTATGCCTATTTGATACGAGATACAGTCGGCCCAAACTATCGGGTTTGGGCCTCCAAATCCCAGTTCACTTCCTAGACCTATGAGCAAGTCCAGAGCCCACGGCACCCACAGATCACTTTCCTATTCTAGACCAATCTCCTATTCGAGGTCATCTTCCTGTTCAGGTCACTTTCCTACTCGAGGTTACTTTCCTGTTCGGGATCACCTTCCTATTCGAACACTGGTAAGATAGCTCACCACCGCCCTAATTCCTCTAGGGTTTGTATCAGAGTCACACTAGGACTCTTACTCCCACCAGGACTGGGAGACCAGACAGTCACTATATAAACAGAGGCCAACCCTCTCACAAGGGACATTTAGATTACATTACACCTTCACACCCGAAGCTCCTACTTGAGAGCTTCACATCACTGCCGTAGTCATTGTCCCCGACTAGACTTCTGGTAACGTTTCTACTCCCTAGCCCTCACTATACTAGCCTCTTTCAGCCTTGCTGACTTGAGCGTCGGAGTACCTACAGCAAACACCACCCCGGTGTTTTCCGTTCGCTTCACGCTTGTTTCTCTACGTGTGTAGGTGCATCGGATCGCTAGTGGCCTCAACCTCACGGGATCAGACCCCTCTTCCGTACAGGTAGATTTTTACGTCTACAGTTAGCAAAATTTATGAGTTTTATAATACATTTACAAATGTGCGTTGGAGCTTTCTTTGGCCGAATAAGGGCTCATGTTAGCAAATTAGATGGGTTTTATAATACATTTACAAATGTTTAAAAATTATAATGGAGCGACTTTAGAAGATAAGAAAGGGGGCGGGTTGGCCAAAGCACCATTCCTTTTTGTTTATTTCCTATTTTTTCATTAAATATGATTATAAAATTTTACTTCTTATGATTAAAATATAAAAATTTCGATATATAGGAAAAAAAGGAATTATAAAATTGGAGGCCTAAAGAAAAAATTCTTCTAAACATTTATGAAATGTCTTGTCATGAGATAAGGAAAACAAAGACTAGAGAAGGGAGATAATGTGTTTAGGGTTTATCAGAATTATGATGTTAATAGTGTTTAAACTAGTGCTCTTACAATGAATTTGAGCAATATAGGTAAGACTAATAAACTAAGGGACAATCAACAAGAGAGCATCGGTTAAGCAAAATAATATGTTTTTTGAGGAAAATGTCACATTGATCAAGAGAAATTCATGAAGTAAATCCCAAATATTAAGGAATGCATTAAATAAGGATTTAAATGTTGGAAGTATTAATTTATCTGAGTTTCAAAATTTGAACCAATTTCAAGTTTACAACTTGGGGGGCCAAAGGGGTAAATTCACTAAGCCCGAAACAGTTAAACCCAATATAACAATCCATGTTCAACGAGCCTAAAATAAATGATTAAGGGTCCATAATATAAAAATATAAAATTGGCCAGAGTGAGAGATTTAGGCCATTAAGGGTCCAAACTTGAGAAGTCTGCCCATAGAAGTAAGCAGGCCCAAATATGTTGGACCGGCTGGTTGGATCAGTGATATCAGCATGTCCACCAGGTCTGAAATCTAGCAAACACTCCCCTATAAATTTACACATTAGTCTTTTTAGGTTTAAAATCTAACAAACACACTCCTACAATATGGGTAGGAAACCGTGAAGCACCTAGGTGATGTAAACGACAATTTGCAGCCAATCGGAGTTTGGGATGATAAGGGTTTTGATGTAGAGATGAAGGTGATGCTGATAGTGATGTTAAGCAATAAGTGGGGTGGTTAGCACTAGAATCTGCCATAATTAGGGAGGAAGCTGCCACTTTCCGTGAAGCAAACAAGTGGTGGCGATGATAATCGACGGTCAATCAGACATTTGGATTATAGGGGTTTTGATGTAGAGATGAATGTGATGTTGATGGTGGTGTCAGATGGGGTGGTTAGTATTAGAATTTTTCGGAATCAAGGAGGAAAACATCGGAATCGTCGATTTTGGGTGGCCTAGTTTTGTCATCGGACTAGTTGGACCGGTGGCTCACTATTATTCTGGTGGCCCAACCAGGGGTCAAAGCGGGTTAACTTCTAAGAACAATTTTCTGGTGTAACCCACTTGGCTAAGCCCCCAGTTCCCAGTTTGACCGGTCGAGCTGGTCGGGTTGGGCCGGGTTTTAAAACATTAGGAGTAACAAGTAAGTTCTTCTGGTTGATCTTTGTTGGAATTGACAACCACTTCAACAATAAGGGGTTCGTCTATAAGGGGCTACGCACACGGGGACCCGCTTTTTGTAAAAAAATAAAATTAAGATAATCAAATTGAAAGTTCAAAAGAATTAAAGCTAAAAAAAAAAAAAAAACGATAACCCTTTCCAATAATTAACTAAAGAACATATTACAATAAGAAGTATAATAAACAATTTTGTTGCAAACTGAAATTAAATAAAACTATGTTCGACATTTGTTAATGTGAAATCTTTACTTTTTCCAACTAATTTTTCATCAGATATATAATTTTGAATTTCGAAACAATTAAAAATTTACAGTTATATATTGCTTGTAATTTGATATATCCCATCGCAGAAACTTTTTCCTCAATTAAACTATCCTTTAGTTTTAAATATGATTTGAAATAGCATCTATGAATAAGGGCTTATGAGAGAGAAGTGGGGTGTTAAAAAAGCATCTTAAAATAATTTAGTATAAGGATAAAATTTGTCATTATAACAAATATTAAAAAATGGAGCTTCTTTAGTGGGATGGCAACAGTATTAATTAGATCGGTTAATCGATTATGTGAAAAAATATCCATCAATATCTGTTCCAATCAAAAGATAAAGAAAGTAAGATATCCATCAATATCTGTTCCAATCAAAATATAAAGAAAGTAAGAAAGCTCGTATTAATAACTCTTAACAAAAAAAAAGGTCTCTTAAACTAAATTATTCAGTCCCCACCTTCAACTTTAAAAGAGGTTTTAATTTTAATAAAATATTTTATTTTTCTTCTTCTTGTATTTATAGATACTAAAATTAAATAAACCAAAATTCACAATTTAAAACATTCCTCCTATATTAAGAATTAATTTTTAGATTTAATATCTTTCTTAATCCATAGTAAGCTCAACTACACACATACATATATATTCGTTCCCACTTCATTTTAATTTTTTTTTTTACCGGTAATTACTGAGAAGCCATCTATTATTTTAGTGAGTTAAAAAAACAAATTTTCTTAGTGTTTGAAATTTTTGTGTGGAAATTATGTTACAATGATTGTTATTATTAATTTTTTGAGGGAATGGAAGCTGAAATCAAACAATAGGAATAAAAATAGTAACGGATATTTCTACTAACGGTTCTTTCTTAGGGTTGGGTTTGTTTTAAGAAATTCAGATTAATCTTGTTTAAAACTTGCGAGTTAAACAATTGTCTAATCTAAAGAAAAAAAATCATTTTAACTAATTAATATTTACTTGGAAGTTGAAATTGAAGTTGATTTCAATAAAAATCCCGTGTATAAAAATTTAGAGAGGAAACTATCTAAGGAGAGACAGTTAAGATTTTTTCGAAAAGGGACTGAAATGTAAAAATGGGGATGGATTTAACCAAAAAAAAATTTAGGGAAGGGCAATTTTTGAATGAAATATAAAATATTTAAAAATTAAAATGATTTAAAATAGTATAAGGACTTGGACAGAGATTTTGTGGATTCAAACCCAAAAATACCCTAATGGAAGCTAATCGTTAGAGTTTATTTCATTTTTTTTATTAGTATGAAGTATGAACAATAATTATTAAAGATCATAATAAAAGATATTATTTACAAAATTATAAGGTATTTAATTTAATAATATCTCAGATGGCAATATTCGGAACCTTTAAAATAACTGATAAAAAATCCAACACTGAAACAGTCAGCCACTTGGAAGGCTATGCAAACTGCTGTAACTATAACGTTTCGTTAAAAACGTTTCATCACCTTCTCCTATATTTAAAACCTTTCACATTCATTTATCGGCTGGTCTTTAAGATTTCCACGCTTAGAAGGAATCGGCATAGCCTTGTTAAGCTGAGAAAAAACCCACAAACACAAAAAGTCCACGTGTTAAGTGTTACGGACACCACGTATACAGTTATGTTCCCCTAGTTGAAACCCCCACCCAACTCCCCATACGCAACACATTCGTGCGTGTCGAAAAGCTTACGTGGCTGTGAACTAGTACGTGGCGTGCAAAGATACATGGGTATGAGTTAGCATAGATGTCTGGTAATGAGTTGGCAAGACACGTGGCAATCAACCACAATCTGTGTGCTAGCTAGCAAAAAACCAGTACTAGTACAAACCTTTGTTTGAAGCAGTAGAGATAAAATTTTTCTGATTTTCTTTTCTTTATGGATTTAGAGAACTGTTCGGTTTCTTGTTCGTTGTCGCCGTCGCCGTCGCCGATTTCCGGGGCGGAGGTTTCCGAGGATCGGATGGTGGATATGGAGCTCGAGGCGGCGGAGGCCTTGGCGGATTTGGCGCATTTAGCGATGAGAGAAAGTGGCGGTGGTGGAACCGCCACGAATTGGGGCTGCAGAGGGAAACGAGTCAGGAAAAGAGTCAAGAGCGAGTCACTATCACCGCCAGGTCCTTCCGGGTTGAATTTGACCCCGATTGACCCGGTTCAACACTGTTCTGATCCGGCTGATGTTAGTTTTTTGGAGTATTATTTATTAATTTTGTTCCTGTTACTTCTTTTTATATATAAACATAACTATATTTTTATATTTGTAGATTTCATTATTATTATTATTATGATTGTTTTCTATTTTGTGACTTCGGTTTTTTGTTTACGGTTTGTGCCGAACTGGTAAGTCGAATTATTGAATTTGCTACAGTGGTTATTCTTTTAGTTTCCTTTTTTCAGGAATTTTTAATTATGTATTATTAATTTATTATGCTTTTTTTTTTTTTAATATAATTTAATAGTGGGAAGTGAAAAGAATGTATTTTTGGTGAATTTTGAAAGGTATGAAAAATTGTATTTCCAATTAGAGTACAATCGACAATTAAATGGATGTGAAGTTTCAATAAATGGAAACAAGTCATGAATATCAGAAAGTATGCTATAACTTGCTTTCAGATATTTTCATTAGTGGTGATTAATGGCTAAAAATATTGCAACATACCTTTTTTTGCAATTATATTTAAACTAATCCCATCCCAATCTGAGGAATTATATTATTTACCTTCAACTGTAGCCGTATATGCCCTAAAATCCGAAGACGTATTTGTAGAGAATAAAATCTCTTTTGGTGTAAATGTGTAAGATTATACCAACTTTAGGGGATGCTTAGAAAAGGAGATTTTTGTCGGTAGCAGTCCTCCCTAGTCGGTTGTACGACCAGGCAATATGTGTTTGTCATGTGTATCCTTATGCTGTTGTGATGTGCTCATGTGATAGGTATGAGATGTTTTTGTGGTGCATAATGTAACTGATACGTATTTGTTGATTTTACAAGTAATGTAGTATGATATTATTCCACTTTCTCTCTTTATCTGATAAAAGACGTAACACATAGTTCCCTTGTGTAGATTCAGGTGGAAGATTAGGTGAAAATATAAATGTTGTAACTTTTTATCAGTGATTCGTTACAATGGAGGTTTCGTGATACATCATGCTAAAGGATACAATTGTTACTTTCGTGTGTAAGAGCACATTAATTTAGAGCTGAAATTGAGTGTAGAGAGAGCATGAACTGCAAATGACATCAAAACTTCATTATATTACTTGATTTGAGCAATCTCTATTGGGAAGACATGACCTAAAGCAAAAGATTTTGGGCTATGGAACTTAGGGCATCCTGGTCCGTAATGTATATTTTCTTTATCTGAATTAAATTAAATATCATGTGTCTGGTGTTTATATATGTTGAACATGATTCTAGATTTGTTCATTTGTTGATGACAAAATATCTATGCTATACTACGTCTTCAGTGATTCATTAAGATAACTTCCAAATTTTCTCCTTTTTTATTTTTTATTTTTACCTAACATTTGTGAAATCATGTTTTAGTTCCCATGGGTCTTCTGTTGAAATCCACAATCGGTAATCCTACTAGAAAAGTGAATTTGGTTAGCCAAACTAGTATATATATGTTGAAATTTTGTGGCGGTCTGTCACCAAGTCGCACTATTCTGTGCAGGACTTGAGCAATATTTTTGTTTATAGCAGGATCAAGCAGAACCGGATCGGGAACGGGATGAAACAACGTGTAGCAATGTAATAATTAAATCAATAAAAGCTGAGCAAGATGCTGAGTCAATTTCTATGTGTGCCACAAGATACACATCAGTGGGTGGTGGCAGGTCAAGACAAAATCTAACTGAGGTACTTGAAGCTTCTAACTTTCTCGGTAGCATTTTTTGTCTGTTAATGCTCTTTAGTTATAATTAAAGCTTTGCCAATCAGGCTGAGAAGGAAGCTAGGAGAATACGTAGAATATTGGCAAACAGAGAATCAGCTAGGCAGACGATTCGTCGCAGACAGGTAAGCCTTTCTTCTCCATGTCAATATTCTTGGTAAATAACCTTTATGTTCACATTTATATATCTGATACAACCTGGTCAGTGAATCTCCTTTATAAATTCATGTCTGTTTTGTTCTCTCTTTCTGTAGTGATTTTGTTGGGTATAATAGATTGAAGAATGTAGAAGAGCAACTTTGTTCACCTAACCTCTTCCCATCCTCTCCCACTGAGCATACCCTGTTTGCACCACTCTTGTTTTAACGGAAGAATACTTTAATTTATTTCTTTTTATAAAAAATTAAGCTTATGTGGCAATATGATAAATGAGCTATGTATATTGTGATGTTAAATGGTTCACTAAACTTATCTTTTAATTCATGACATTATCACGAGCCAGCATTTTCATCCATGAATACAAAGTCAAGTAGGATCTTTGTGAACGGTATGGGCAGCAGATGAGTTAATAAACTGGAGTGACTATGGGCACTCGAATTACTTTTGAAGTAGGCTAGAGTTTCTTTAATATGCATCTTTTATCCAAGTGGATAGTTTCAAACTGTTGTCTGCCAAACAACTCATAGTACTTTCTTATTTAAATTTATACAACCTCAAGAGACCTAATTAGCTGAACTAGCTAGTACTCACATATTGAGGTTTTAAACGACATTGTATTTCTCTACGCTTAGTGTCTTTCTTAGAAGGCAATAGCAAAAAACCTCATAATTTACAATCATTTTATTCAATATCTCTTTTATAGGAAAAATTCTTACATTTAGTTTTGCATGGGAAAAATACCTGTATCCCTACGTTGAAAATTCTTGAAATCAGACAAATGTAACACTTAAATGTGCATGCACTCTATGTACGTGGAATTTGGTCCATGCATGATGAACTTAACATAGATTATTGATTTTGATATTCTAGCTATGTAAAGATGGCATTTTCTTTTTTGAATAACTAGAGATTTTTTGAAATTTAAGATTCTTTCCTTAGCAGCCCCAGTTAATTTCAACATATAGTGTACCTGCTTAGGGAAAATAATTGCACAGACTCTTCACTGGTGAACTTAGTCTTTAGCTGCATTATAGAAGTACTGCATTTATTACTGCATGTTGACAAATCATCACCAACTTTAATATTTGAAGAAAACATTGACACTATGACTTCCAGTTGATGACATGAATTCCCTGCGTTTTTGGATTATATCAATAACATCTCATCAACAAATTCCTCTGCTATTTGGATAACCCTTACTTTTGATTGTAAATGCAGTATTATATTCTTTAATAGAAGCTAAATGTAATCCAAAGATACCTTGTTCCACTAACTTGTTGATCACTTTTGATGGACCGCTGCTTCATACTACAATTTTGTATACTCTTTTTGATAAAATAATTATTTTGCTTCTAAATAATAAAAAAAAAGAAGCTAAACAAAGAAAATCATCTTTATTTTCCATTTATTTTTCTCTCTGGTCACTGCATTTCTTAGTCCCAAACAGACACAGAAACGAAAGGTGAACTAAAAACTTCTATTTTGTTTCTTCTTCACTGATGACTCCGTCACCAGATGTTATTGTATTTCTCATTCTATTGACAACATAGCAAAGAAGTAAAGAACTGGTGTTACAAGCAATGCAACTGCTGTCAAAATCAAAACTTAATGAATGGGAAACCTTTCACTGAATAACTGATAAAGTTGAAACTCTCTGATTTGCTTGAGTTTTGGGTTGAGGCTTACTTATTTGAATGAACTGACACCAAGTTCATTGCTGATGTTATAGTTTTTGATGTGGCCATAGCTGATGACTGTTGTACTTAAATGAACTACACTATTGCAAAGTCTACAACACCATGACCAGCTCCATAGCATATTGTTTGCACTAAAATTATATTCTTAGTGCTGACAACCCAAACTCTGTCTTGCATTCTCATTCTCGACAAAGTTGACAAGTGAAATAGGAGTTTTATGTGCACCTTTAAATAACTTTGGTTTGGTGTTAGATTGTGTATACATTTAAGAAAATAAAATGTCAAGTTAGTAGTGAATTGATGTGGGGTTGTCTTGAGCTTTTGGTTAGGGTTGTCAGTGTGATCCTATATGGGCTTTCTCTACTGTGGTGGAGGTGCAAGTGCTAGTCATGGATTTGGTAACCATAACTGGATTTTTCTTTTGGAATTTATGTGGAGTTGGGTACAGTTGATGTTAAATGGCATGGCAACATGAATCAAAGTTGACTTGAATGAAAGAGATAACTTCCCATTAGTAAACAAAATATCTCTCATTCTTGGATTTCTTTTTGCAATAAAAGAAGACAATGGTCTAAACTAATATGACATCCTAACCGTAGAGATGGGTTGCCTTTGATTTTTCGAAACCACAAGAGGTGTCTTTAATGTTAACCCAAGACTTGGGGGTCCAAAAAATATTTATGTAAATACCATCTTTAGTTTTCTTGTTAAAAGCATTTACCTTCCATATAATTTTAGTTAATATCATGTAGAACCCCGAAGTTTAAAGTTTCATCATAAACCTCTCCTATAGTCAGTTTTATTCATTATCATTTTAACTGGATGGTCTATGTGTAATGTTCAGCAAAACTGCGGGGAGTTTGATGCTAATTATCCTTTAATTTCATCTTGTTTATGTTTTTCACTAAGAAATGCTTAATGATTTTCTTAAGTGTATGGTTTATATCTGGTTCTGATAATGTACATCTTGTTTGCTTTTGGTTCAGGCTCTGTGTGAGGAGTTAACCAGAAAAGCTGCTGATTTGGCAAGGGAGAATGAGAGTTTAAAGAGGGTAGGCAGCATCTGCTGTTAAAAAATTATCAAGGCATTTGACTGATAGTAGTATTAAAAAATATGTACATCCTGGTCAAGTTTGAATTATCTTTTTCATGCTGTCACTAAAACTGCAACATTGACTTATTATACATTTGTTGACATTTCTATTGAGAAGGAAAAGGAGTTAGCTTTTAAAGAATATGAGTCTCTGGAGACTATAAATAAGCATTTGAAGACAATGGTAAGAAGATCTATGCGTCAACTGCTTAGAATTTTTCTTGAAAGTCTTTTGTCACCAATATAACATCCTCTCCATGTTTTGCAGATGGCAAAAGCAGTAAAATCTCAGGTTGATGAATCACCAGGAGAGCTTAAGCCAGCCCATGCTGAGATGACTGTCTCTCCTTCTGCAAACTGTTCGTTGCTCTTGTATAACCACCATCCTTTTTCACCACTTGGCTGGCCTTCTATGATTCAAAATTCACATGCACTGCAATCAGGACATGGGCTGCAGAACCCTGTCATTATTCCGTCGAACCTTCTGACACCAGTTGTTCGTAAGCTTGATTCTCAGGATCAAGAAAACCCTACGAATGTTAATGCAACTGGAACTCCTTTTTATATATTACCATGCCCTTGGTTTGTCCCTCTTCACGATAATGGGAATGGATTCCATGCTCAACCCCCTGATAGCCTGAAAAATGTACAGGATGAAACTTCAAGGCATAATGGATATGATGTTTGTTCATCATCACAAAGTGTCACAAATATGGAGAACTTCTTGTTCCGTGCAAAAGCTAACAATGAGGTTTCTGGTTCAACTGAAGTTAGAACCGCTACTGATCTTAAAAATATGCCAGTTGAGTTTCCTCCAACTGGAGGTGTTCAGCATAGTGGACCTTGCCCAAGAGAAGCAACTTCTACACAAGCACCACTGTGTTCTGTTGGAGGTACGCTTATTGTTAATCATGAGAATGTGCATTGCAATAGTGAAGCTATTTCTATGAAAGCAAATCATATTGCAAATGCTTTGTCGGAGAAGAAACAAGAGGCAGCCAAGCATCCAAGTACGAAAGTAGTGGATGCAGTTGCTGCAGCTGAGGCAAGAAAGAGGAGGAAAGAACTTACAAAACTGAAAAGCCTCCATGGTCGTCAATGTCGATTGCACTGTTGAGCTTATCGGCCAACATTATAGTTGGCACCAGGATTAAAAGGAATTCTGATAAGCTTGACTCTCGTTTTATTCATCTTTAAACATGGAAGTTTTTCCAACAGAACAAAATTTATGACTCTTGGGTGATCGTAACACCATGTTTCAGGTTTGAGGCTCTTTCTATTCTTCTAAATGTTTTTGGAAGGTGGAAAAGGACTGAAATTTTAGGTTTAGGTAGTTTCTTTTAATTTATGTATTAGGAAACACAATCAAGGTCAAGTCGGAATACAGTGATAGCCGAGCATGTAATGTTTTTTTTGAGTAGCCGGCGCTCTGTGTGAAGATGAGTTCCTTAAGTTAACAGATTGGTGCTGCCATTTTGATGTGGTTCGACTGAGGAAGGGGCAGCGAAATAGGAGTTGAGAAATGGCATGGATTTAGCTTATTATGTGTTGTAACTTTATACAAGTATCTATACCCTTTTTCATTTATGTATTTTTTTTGTATCAGGACCCAGAATAAAATTCCGTAACTATAAACTTAGTATCCAAATTTGTATACAATAATATTATAGTTTTAAACATAAATGTTAATAAATCATGCATTATTTATTGTAGTATCAAAGAAGAAGTCCTGAATTTCATTTATAATTTTATCTTTTCATCAAACTGGATGATATGACATTTCCTATAGCTATATCTTCTTTAATTACTAGTATTAGTTAATTAATCTTGTTGGTATAATCTCTTAGTTATATAAATGGGAAGACTTCATTTGATGCATGCTCAAATCTTGGTTTACAAGAAGGACTGGAATTTAGTTGAGATTGAGCAGTAACAATTTGCAATCTTGTAAATAAGCTACTTAAAATCAAAACTTAAGATTGTCCTGGCCTATAAACAAGAATAGGGCTCTTCACACTGTGCTTGGAGTCTCTCCATTCAAGTAAAGCTGATAGGATATGATTTCCCTTTTTCATTACGCCGCCTTTCACCACTACCTTGAAAGACATCGTTTCACGCGGTTTACTAAATATCAGAGTATTTGGAACAACTCTAATTGAAAGACCCTTTGCCGATGTAATAATTGCCTTGTACACTGACTTTCCATATCCCACATGTGTCACAGTCCTGTAAAACACGGCTGAAATACTGGAATTCTTGTTCTTCACCTGTGTGTGCATTGATGGATAATTAAGACCATCTGTCCCTTGGGCAGGTTTAAAACTAGAGCAGTTGAACCTTTTCTTGCCTCCCAATAGTAGACCAATGGATGTGCTGTTATAACCTTCCTTGCAGAAGAAACGTACATAGTCATTCAAGGAAATATCATAGATGAGACCCGGGTGCCTCGCCCGTAATGGATTAATTTGGCCTGATCCAGAGCCTAGTTCTGCATCTTCTGCTTTGATTTCCATAGGCGTGGCTACAATCACAGATTAATTTTTTTTTATTAAAGTTATATATGTGAGATTTGATAGAGTTATAATCTGTGGTTTAGGAAGCGTTACCAGTGGTCATGAGGGCGGATTTGATGGCGGCGGGCGACCAGTCCGGGTGGAAAGATTTGACATAGCCAGAAGCTGCTGCAGCATGAGGGCAAGCCATTGATGTGCCTGATAGTATGTTAAATGGTGCAACTCGTTTGTCCATTGGCTGTCCTGTTATCGATACCAGTTGTGAATATGCAGCTAATATGTCTATTCCTGGTGCTGAAATATCTGGTTTCAGGATGTTAAGGCTGATGACTTGAGGTCCTCTGGCTGAGAATGAAGCGACGAAGGGGGCAGCCATCTTAACTGCCCTTGTCTTGTATATAACAGCTTGAGGGTTCCTGTATTCAATTCAATCCAAAACATCATATCTAACACTGATTATTAATGATGCGCAAAAATTACAATACTGAATATATAATCAAGTTTAGTACTTGGTAGAGTTGATGTAATGGTCTATCTTGGAGCCATCTTTGGCGCCGATGAAAGCGCCCGGTATAAGAGTGGTGAAGGCTGTGTCTGTGGGTTCATCAAGGGTCACGATTGTTCCTGCACCACCTAATTCTTTGATAGTATAGTCTTGGCTACCGGAACCAAGGCAGTACACAATCTTTCCCTTCACTTTATTCATGCTTAGAGTTGCATAATCGCATGCACTGTTAAACAAATGGTGTTAAGAGTGTTTTGAACTTTGCCTGAAATTGCAAATAATGCTTGAATTAATTCGCTTACAAACCTAGCATTTCCATAGCCCTGACCACTACCATTGGCTGCAAGAGCTCCACTAGTAAGAGGGTACAGTATTTTTTTTGGTGAAAATGTGTTAATTGAGATCCCCTATTGTATCACCCAAAGATATATAAGTTCACTAAGTTAATAATAATAAAATACCCACAAAAATAAATGTGTCAAATTAATGAACTTACAGAAGTTTCCATTCCATTGCCAAGTTTAACTCCTGTCACTAAGTGCCTATCAATGCTGCTAGCAGCCACAGTCAAAATCCATGGTGCAACATTTTGAACTGTTCCTGGATGAGGCCCCTGATTCCCAGCTGAACAAGAGGTAAGAATTCCCTTTTTCATGGCATGAAAAGATCCAATTGCAATGGGATCATCGAAAAAACTCCTCGACGGTCCACCGATTGAAACCGATATCAAGTCCACACCATCTAGAATGGCATCATCAAAAGCGGCTAGTAAGTCCATATCATTGCAGCCATCCTCCCAACATACTTTGTACATCGCGACTCGAGCTGATGGGAGGCCGCCGCGAGCAGTGCCTTGGGCGATGCCATACAAACTAGCACCCTTGACTGGTGCACCTGAAGCTGTGGAGGAAGTGTGAGTGCCATGTCCATCAGTATCAACTGGACTTGGCTCGTCCATTCTAGGATCAATCTCTTTCTCTAAATGGTAGTATCTTGCACCAACGACTTTGCTGAAACGGTTAATAGTATTTTTCAGTTTTTGATAAATAAAATGTGATTATATTTTTAAGAAAGAATAACAATGCAGTCTACTTGTTGCAGCCAGTGAAATTGGCGCCCGTAAAACATTTGCCCTTCCATTTTGCAGGAGGAGGTCCGTAGCCTTTATCATTAAAACTTGGAGATTTTACCCAAATTCCTAGAAAAAAAAAAAAAATAAATAAAAAAATTGAAAAATAATTCAGAAAATGCTTTATTTAAATAAAATTCTCGTATGTGTATCAAATGAGCAACTAGCATACCTGTATCTAAAACACCAACAATGATATTACTCTCTTTTTTGGAGTTCTTTTGCTGTAATGTTTCAGAAAGTCCCAGGAAATCCCATGTTCTAGTAGTGTGAAGTTTACGCCTAGTGTTTGGAAACACAGATACAACACCCTCTTCCTCTGCATAACAACTTATAGTTTAAAGATCAAGCTCTGACAAAATTTAATATATATGTATGTATGTGTTGCTCACAGAGTTATATGATTTTCTTTTAATCGGAGTTCTCCATGGTTCATTATGCCATGTGTCTGTAGAAAATTTTAATCAATAAGTATACCTGATAATCTCTTCGCTTCATGCGGCAATAGCCTGGCGACAAATCCACTGAAGCTCTTCTTATAACTGTGTACTTTGGATTCTTTGGCTAATTTCGCGCTGAAAAATTGTTGAGAGATGTAATATGTTTCATTATAAACCAGTGGGTTATGGTTCATGACTGTTATGATCTGAATAGAAGTAATTAAAGTTGATTGGAAAAGAAAGAAGATGATGAATTACTCTCCAATTGCTGTCCTTAGCAGATTCTGATGCTCATTTACCGCTGAAATTCCAGCTGCTGGCACGTCTCCCATGTAAACAATGTATGGCTGTTGTTGTTATTTAATTACATATTAGTTTCATGAAAATAAAATTGATTGGAATATTCATGGCATACAAATGAATAATAATTTTATGAAATGCATGCATGAGACTCATCGATGTACCTTTCTTTCATTTTGAGTCTCAGTCGATGCATTAATCAATAGATTGAAGATAAATAAAGCTACTAGATTCAGTTTCATCTTTCTACTGGAATTAAGGTTTAATCTTTTGGTATAAATAAAAGGAGAGTTGAAGATAGTAACAGTTAATTATGCGTTAATTAATTTGACCGAGGAGCAATAGAGGAAATGAAGCAACACTGTAATTAATTACTTGGTCAGATTAAGACTCAGACTTGGGTGGCTTGATTTTTGGATCCCACTCTCACACTAGATTTATTCCTAGCATGCTTTAAGTTAGGAAACAAAATAGCAGATTTGTTCATCATTAATTTGTATAATTTCTTAACCTCTCAATAAAATAATATATATATGTTTGTTCATCAATTCCTGCAAGTTGATATTTTACCACAATTGTTTAATTTATTGTTTTTTTTAGAGTGCAAATTAAAATTTAATCTCTTCTAAAAAAAATATTTATCCAACTCTTTTACATTTTTACCTCTTCACTCTAATAGTTATAAAAAATCAAGCTAGAAAGGTCCCAAAAGTTGGCCACCCCATATTTCAAGTCTGATAATGAAGTATAATAATTAATGTCTTGTACTTATTATGGTAAATTTCAATTAGTAAAGAAATGTTTAAAAAAAAAAAATTAGGAAAGAAATAGATATGGAAATTTAAATACAAGAACTAAACAAAACTAGAATTTCTAAATGTTATTGATGTATGACTAATATATATATATGAAGCATTGAATGGCCTAAGAGAGGGTGAATTAGGCTTTTTAATCTCCTAAGATCACTTTTTAGGTATATGAGCAAATTCAAACAATTTGTGACTTATGGTCTCTACTAGTGTACTTTATAAATGTGAACAATTATATATAAGGAATCAAATATACACAAATATAAAGTAAATTGCACAAAGTAAAGAGATAAGGGAAAATAAAAGCAAACACAAACGATATATTCTGGCTCGGCCCCAACCCGACTTACATCCACTCCTCCAAGCTTTCCCTCTTTGAGTATTCCACTATCTCCTTTGGTTGATCACCCAACCAAGCAAATCGAATACAAACTTACGTCCACTCCTCCAAGCTTTCCCTCTTGGAGTATTCCACTATCACCCAACCAAGCAAATCGAATACAAATAGCTTTCATACAGGTGCTATTAAACCTTTACCCACAATTGCTTCACAATGTATAAGAAAAGCCTCTCACACACACTAGGGACGAGATTGGGGTGGACGGGAGATGTGGGTGTCAAGGAGAGTCAGTTGACCCTACTTAAGTTTTAAATTTTTTTAACAAGTTTTACATTTATGCTTATTTGTTTGGCATGTTTATGTCCAAATGAATCATTTGTTGCTTTTGATAAACAAAAATTGATGTGCCAGCTTGCTGAACTTTATTTAGAAGATTTTTCTAATTTAGAACTTATGGCACTTGATTCTCAACTTGATGTTTACATTTTGGATATGCACTCTAATGTCAAATAATGGGATTGAAAGGTTGTTATGCTAAAATTGATCTCAAACTAATCGATTCTACCAACAACCACAACAACACACACATACACGAAATAAAATAGCAAAGAAGCAAGAACACCAAGGTTTTACTGTGGTTCACTTATTCCAATGGAATAAGCTACATCCACGTTAAGCTCTAAGAAATTTGGGGCTTACTGCACTATAAAGATCAAGAATATACAAGATTACAAGATAGTTCATCCAATTCCCAAATCACTCACTCACAATAATCCCTCAAATCAGACGATAATCCTTAATCCTAGAGAGAACCTTAATCTAGCCTCTCTGCCTTGAAGAAACCTGTCACGGCTGGGGGCTATCCTCTATCTTGCTACCTTCGGGCTCAAGGGCTTTCCCTGTGCCGGACATGTCTGATAAGAGTGTAATTTATATATTTTTATTCCTTCCATATTATTATTTTTTGTTATGTTTTATGCCTAGTTGAGTTGATTAGAGTTTATTTTGTAAGTTTGGAATATTTGGATAGACTTTATGCAATAATTGAGAAAAGATTAGGAAATTCCAGATTTTTTGTTATTCTGACCAGTGCTGCGTTTTTCAGATTTTTCATGGAGTCAGATTTCTCGTTTGCAAAGTTTCCTCAGAAAAAGTAAAGTAGATGAATCAAGCCTTCTAGGAAGGTACTATGGGAGAGAATTCGAGTTCGTTTGGGCCCTCATTAGTTGTTGCAAAACCGGACCTGGAATCCTATTCGCGGAAGGATTTCCTGGCTGAGTATTGAGTCTTTGAATGGGTCTAACTAGAGCTTCAAATATCGAAAGCAGGTGATTCAAAAGCCCAAATTCATCTACACATCCAGGAATACAACTTTTATGAAGTGACCAAGCCTAGAAAAGTTCTTTTACATTGTGAGAATCCTGGTGCAAGCTGGATTACGAATTTTGTTTTCCATATCTGATAAGGAATTGACAGTTTTGGAAGTCTATCGTTTAGGAAAGGTCTAGGAAAGTAATTTCCATTTTTCCTGGGGTAGAATTGAGGAAAAACACGTTATTTATTTATGAGTTGTTAGGTTAAACAGAGGGGAGAGAACGACAGTGGATGCTTTTTTTTGTTTTTTACTTTCTACGTAAATATGGGCGACTCATCTTTCTTCTTTAGTTCAAGGGGATTTTGAAGCCCGAATTCATGTCATTGGTATAACTTAACTTCAGTAACATTGTTCTTAATCTCGTTCTTATTGGAATTGTTTATGTTATTATGTTTTAATTGTTTATGATTTTTGTTTGGGTGATTTAGAGTTTGGGTGATTTAGTAATGGCCTGCTAAATTGTTTAATCGAAATTTTATCTGTTAGAATTAGGAATTGTGATACGTAATTGTCCTCTTTCTATTCAATGAGTAACACATGATGATAGATGATTACAAACAAGTTCTTAATCTGTCACCTTGAATAACATAACCTAAGTTTAATAATCCGATCTTGTGTGATTGTTGCTTGGATTGATCTATTTTCCTAATGCTTAAGGCTGCCATTGAATTAAACTTAGAGAGCTTATTCTAGGTTGTTCAAGGGTTAGGATCTAATTGAAGAGCTTATTTCAATAGTGACAATTAAGGGAAAATTCGGGTAACAGAGCTTGTTGTTTCCTAGGGTCAATAATTCCATAATAACGAGATAGAATAATGTTACGGTTAGTTCATGTCTAATGCATGTTTAGGTGGATCTTGGACCGAGAACTGGTTGTTTTTAATATGATATTTTCTACCATTGGAGATTTATTCGTTTCACTTTAGATTGCATTGTCTACAATCCCTTTCATGATTCTGTTGTCATGTTTACTGTTTAGGATTTTATTTTATTTTATTTTTCTGTTGTTTTCGTTATGGTTATTGGTCATAATACAGGATTTAATCGAAGCATTCCTTGTGGGATCGACCCTTGCTCACCCTATATGCAATTTAGTAGTTACGTTAGTAAGGTTATTAATTTGGAGCATTTGGCACACTACCAATGTCCAAGGTATTGTCCGCTATGGGTCCTTCTGGCCACGCCTCCTTCGGACCCTCACTGCTTTGTTTCGCTTTGTGTTCTTTTTTCCACCTTACAACCACCTCCCCTATGACTTGAATCCTGGACTTATACCTTGGCCAAGTAACATGAGCCTTTTTATTGTCATGACCGGGGGCTATCCTCTATCTTGCCACCTTCAGGCTCAAGGGCTTTCCTCGCACGTCCAAGGTATTGTTCGCATTAGGTCCTTCTAGCCATGCCTCCTTTGGACCCTCACGGATTTGTTTCACTTCGTGGTCTTTTTTCCACCTTGCGAACGCCTCCCTCATGACTTGAACCTTGGACTTATACTTGGGCCAAGTAACATGAGTACCATTTCGTGAGGGTCTAAAGGAGGCGTGGCTAGAAGGACCCAAAGCGGACAATACCTTAGACGTGTCCGACGCGGGGGGAAAGCCATTGAGCCCGAATGTGGCAAGATAAAGGATAGTCCCCTGTCGTGACAAAACCCTATTCTTCTACCCACAATTACAAAGGTTGTGACCTGATTACAAGATTTGAGAATACCCAAAGAATAAACCCTACCAGAGCAATTTGATCGCAAAAGAGGAATAAATGAATTGTGCAATCTGTAAACTTGTCTTGTTTTATAGGTTGACTTGTTGGATTGATGAGAGTCATCGAATTAGACTAATAGGCAATGGCTGAAATCAACACTTGTATGTCTTCAAAATGGCAGCGTATAGGCAGATTGAAATGACACCAATTTAAAGGTTCACTTAACAATCTCCACCTTGAAGCTTTAAACACCATAAATTCCAAAAACTCACTAGTGCAGCTTACCCACAAATAACTCTTCACAACTTTGTTACTGATGTTCACTTGACATGTAGCAGGTTCAAACAGTGCTTGAACTTGGTAGGGGTGACTACCTTCATCCCCATATCCGTAGGGTTGTCCTCTGTTGCCACCTTTTTCAGATTGACTACACCTTTGTCCACTAGGTCTCTCACAAAATGATACCTTACGTCTACATGCTTGGTCCTTTTGTGGTAGACTGGATTCTTGCTCAAATGTATGGCACTCTAGCTGTTTGAATAGACAGTAACTGCCCTATCAAGCAGCTCCACTTCTGACAAGAGTCCTTGAAGCCATAATGCTTCCTTGAAAATGTCTGCCATAGCAATATATTCTGCCTCAGTTGAGGATAGAGCAACTATTGGTTGGAGTTGGGATTTCTAGCTCACGCAATTTCCTCCCACAGTAAAGATGTAAGCTATGGTTGACTTCCTTGTATCTTTGTCACCTGCAAAATCAGAATCTACAAAGGCTACAAGATCAAGTGAGTCACATCTTTTACAATATTCCAGGCCAACATGTAAAGATCTATTAATGTATCTAAGCAACCATTTAGAGCAAACCAGTGTTCAAAACCAGGGTTTGACATGAACCTACTTAAAAGAGAAATAGTAAAAGAAAGGCCAAGTCTGGTGCTTATCATAGTATGCATGACTGACCCAATTGCATTTGCATAAGGGACATTCTCCATTTTTATTAAATCAACATTAGACTTTG